ATCTTCCCGGAATGCATAAAAATACTCTCTAGCCAAGTATTAGGAGAAATTCAACCTATCTTCTGCATGGTTAATTTGGGAGGTTTTTTGGTCAGACACCCTTAGAAAAAGATCCACTAGTGCTTGACAAATCAAAGTGTGTTCACGCTCGCTCTTCCAGGCATCTTACTCAAGTGTGACTAGAAGCATCCAAAATGAAGAGTGTAAGGGAATGTTCCTATCATCTAATCTGGGTTCCTAACTTGATTATCTAAATTAAACATCTGAAGCCTAATTATACAACCCCATCCCTCTGTACTGGGAGGGGAGAGCTCCAGTAGGCAGTTTAGACAGAATCTGCTCTAAATTTTTTGTTAGAGACCTAAACTTAGAAGAGACTCACTTTGATTCGTTCACTCCCGACTTGACGCTGGGCACAGAATGAGTTGCCCCACAGAGGAACAGAAAGGTGGAAAAATTACTCATCTCCTTTTGAGGGAAAATCTGCTAAAAGCAGAAGCTTGCCTTGTGGCACAGATGCCAGGGCTCCTGGCTGGGAAGCAAACAGCCTCTGTGGGCATTGTGGTTTAGTAAAAAAAATTACCATTGTTTCCCTTCTGTCCCACCAAAGTTATTCAGCAATTTAAGGCATTTCAGGAGAAAGAGATGAAAGGTTTGTCCATCCTTTTCCAGCCAAATGTCCCTAAACCACTTCTGAACTAAGAATGCAGAGACATAAGCTTGCAAAAGGCTTTCAGGGCTCCTGACAAGCTTCAGAGAGAAAGGAAGAGGAGAGGAAAGGAGAAAGGTGCAATTTGGTTGGAAAGGTCCAAAGCAAGGAGGCAAGAGAAAGGGAAAGGAGAAGTAGGGAGGGGAGGGGAGATGAAGGGAAAAGGGGGGAGGGGGAAAGTGCATTTTATAAAGTTCATATGTGTGTTAGAAGCCAAAACATCCCTTCATTTGTATGAACAAAAGTCAGCTGCAGCAAGGATAGTGAAAAGCAAACTTGGTCTTATGTGCTTTGATTTACTGCTAATTTAAACATTTCAACATAATGTTCTTTGTGATGCTGATGAACAAACCCCCAGTTGTGCTACCAGTTCTGAGGAGCTCTCACTGACTGCCTCTTTCTGCGTCTCATAGGTTTTATATCTCACTGTAACATCAGAGGACATGGTGCAACACACCTGCTTTGTATCTAGAGCACTGTCGTGCTGAAGTTTCGGCACCATTGGACCAGCTGGGGTTTTGTGGTGCTTGGTGAACACTAACTCAGCCCTCAGCTGCTGCCACTGCCCCAGCTGGCACCAGACACAGCTCTGAAAGGGCTGCAGCTCATTTGGAGGGATGTGGCATGTCAACAAGTGGGGCAGGAACTGGGGGCAGACTCAGATGGACATTTGTACTTGTTGGAGGTGTGAAGCTTCCAGCCTGTCCCTGACACCTGGCTGCATGGATGTTCTCCTGGTCATGTTGCCTCCTTGGAGGCAAAGTGGAAAGGTTACCTTCCTTGTGCATGGTGTCACTGTGCAGGCAAGCACTTGGGGTTCTGCAGATGGAGAGATGCCAGGCTGCCTCTGCAGCCTGCTGGGCAGAGGCGCCTCTGGGCAAGGGGACGTGCACATCCCACTCCAGGCTTTCTTTGGTCAGGGGTTTCTAAAGTTAAAGCACATGAACCACAGCACGGGAACCTGGGAATGAGGTTCACAAGGCGGTACCAGCAGCTTTAGATGTGTGGAGTTGTAGTAAAACTGCTGCAGTAAAGCCAGGCTTAGAGCAGGATGAAACAGTTCAACGAAAGTAGGCTGACTCCAACCCAAATCTGCCCTTCCTCATCAGGGATGTTGGAAGGTGCTCTTTGTCCAAGTTCAGGAGCAGAGCCCCACGTCCCTGACAGCAGTGTAGCCCTTCTGCTGTCTGATTTGCAGTGCTCCAAGCGTGGGGTGAGAGCAAGGCTCAATAGCACTGGTTCATGAAGGGTCAAACTGCTGTGCAGCTAATCCCCTAATTTATTAGGAAACTTCTCCCATCCCAACATGGCTGACGGAAGATCAGCAGGCAGGAGAAGTAACACATCGTAGATTCATAGGTTGGCACTGACATTTCATGAACAGCAGGGAAAGGACCAAATGCAAAAAAAACCCCAACCTGGCTCCAAGTTGATGATTTACACTCTTTTCTCAGGGTCTGTTTGCCAAGCAGCTGGTGTTTTGTGCCAATGGCTATTACAGAAGAGCTTTCTTTGATAGGTACTCTGAATGGACGCTACACAGTTTATCTTAAAACAAAATCCCTCCTACTGCTTATATGGGCTGGTAGGGGATGAGGGAATGAAAAAGTTGGCCTTCGTTGGTTTTTTTAAGCGTGACTATGAAAGCATATTCGGGGAGCCTGCACTATCTGTGCAAAAATGCAACAGATGAATTCTATTAATGGATGGAACATGTGGCTGAGTTCAAGCTAGAGTTGTCATTTGAATACAGAAGTCAAAGCCAATTTATTGTAACATATTTTTCTTTTCAAAATATTTTAAGAAAGACAAAAAAGTTTGCACAACAACTTGGCAAGCAGGTCTGTTGAGAGGAGGTATTTTCTATCTTGCAGCTAACATAAGGGCTGAAAAATGTGGCAGTGCCGAGCAATCCTGGATTCCTTCTGGAACTGAAAGAAAGTGTGCAGGATATTATTGTGTAAGAGCCCAATAAATTTGAAGGGTGGGTTTGTAAGACTGCCTTGGGGGCTGCAGGTGGCTCCAGAAGAAAGTCATGGGGTTTATTTCAGTAACAGTCTTTAAATACTTTATCTAACTAGCTACACACTCATGTGTCCCCATCTAGAAGCCACAGAACTATTTTAAAATAGGAACACCCATAACAATCATTGCATTTCTTCCTTGCCAGATGGCAGAAAGCTAAGTGGGATTAGTCTGTAGTGAGTGTCATTGGGGAGTGGAAGGATGCAAAAGCTAAGGCACAGAAATGGGCTTTCCTGGAGTTTGAAAAGCAATAAGCATCAGTGCTCCATGGTCTTCAGGGCATGAGTAGAATCATAGAATCAGCCGGGTTGCAAGGGACCTCTGAGATCATCAAGTCCAACCCTTGATCCAACACCACCGTGGTTACTAGACCATGGCACTAAGTGCCACATCCAGTCTCATCTTAAAAACCTCCAGGGACGGAGAATCCACCACTTCCCTGGGCAGCCCATTCCAGTGCCTGATTACCCTCTCTGTAAAGAACTTCTTCCTAATATCTAACCTAAACCTCCCCTGGCAGAGCTTAAGACCTTGCCCTCTTGTCTTACTGATAGCAGCTTGAGAGAAGAGACCAACCCCCACCCGGCTACAACCTCCTTTCAGGGAATTGTAGAGAGTGATGAGGTCTCCCCCAAGCCTCCTCCAGGCTGAACAACCCCAGTTCCCTCAGCCTCTCCTCATAGGACTTGTACTCCAGTCCCTTCACCAGCCTCGTTGCTCTTCTCAGGACCTGCTCCAGCACCTCAATATCCTTCCTGAACTGAGGGGCCCAGAGCTGGACACAGTACTCCAGGTGTGGCCTCATCAGTGCTGAGTACAGGGGAAGAATCACTTCCCTAGTCCTGCTTGCCTCACTGTTCCTGATCCAGGCCAGGGGGCCATTGGCCTTCTTGGCCATTTGGGCACACTGCTGGCTCCTGTTCAGCTTCCTGTCAATCCAAACTCCCAGGTCTCTTTCTGCCTGGCTGCTCTCCAGCCACTCTGTGCCCAGCCTGTAGCGCTGCAGGGGGTTGTTGTGGCCAAAGTGGAGGACCCGGCACTTGGCCTTGTTGAACCTCATCCCGTTGGAATCAGCCCAACTCTCCAGGCTTTCCAGGTCCCTCTGCAGAGCCCTCCTGCCTTCCAGCTGATCAACACTCCCCCCCAATTTAGTGTCATCTGCAAATTTGCTGATGGTGGACTCAATAACCTTATCTAAATCATCGATAAAGACATTAAACAGAACTGGTCCCAGCATTGATCCCTGGGTATGTGAGACCAGTTCTTGCTCCACTGTTGGTCAGTCCATATTTCCATAGATGCATTGAGGGACAATGGCCATGAAGCAGACTTTTGCTATGATCCAACATAGGCTGAGTGGTTTTGTGTGTACACTGAGAAAGCTATTTCCTACATTTGGTAAAGTCTCAAGTACTAAAAACCGGTGGAGTAAGTAGGCAGAAAACATATTGCTGCTGAGGGAAATCATGGCTGAGAGAAAAGGAGCAGCATATTGTCATTCCATGTCTCATCTTGTATGAGCACGATTTGAGTCCTCAAGTACTTTTCCCATTGCTTTCTGCAATGACTTTTGGCCATCCCTTCCTCATGAAGCTGCACACTGGAAAGAGGAAGCAGATCTAGATTCCTCACCAAGACCAGAGACCCTAAAGCACTCTTCGAGGTCCTTCCCAGTTACACATTTGTTTTACCAAGGAAGTTGATACACTCTAAGCCTATTTAATCCTGTTGCTAGTGGCAGTCAATTAGCAATCTCTCAGAGATTGCTCTTGTCAGGGGGATGACGGGATGAATGAAAGCAGCGCCATTCACCCCACTGCAAAGTATCAACTTACCACCTCTGTATTTTCTAAGAATAAATGCCACTTCTAGTAATAAGTCTGTAACTTCTTGCTGCTGTTCACCAGATGGAGGAACCAACAGACACTGAGTTTGTTCCCTCGTGGTCAAACAATCTGCCATACAGCCCAATGCATGTTTCCTGAGACATCCCCAGGACAGCTCTGTTACTTCTGGTCATGTTTCCCAAGCTCCTGGTACAATATTGAGGTTTTCCACTGGAATCACCTGGCACATTTTCACTCTTCCCTGAGCAACAAAGTTATTCAAACCCCTTCTTAATTTGTCAAAGCCTTTGTATCGGTCACTTGTCCCGAGAGTCTGTGGGCTGTGTCCTGAACTTGAGCTAATTACATACAAAGGATTATTTCCTTTTCTTGATGCTTGTTATTATTTTCATCCTTCATGAGCCATTTTTCTGTTTCAGGATCAACACTCTGTGGTAGGCCAGGGAGCTGGCCCCACTCCAAGCTCCAGTTCTTGCTCAAATCCAAACACTGGAAGTGGTTACATGAACTCATCCCAGCAATCATTGTTGAATCAGCAGCTGATGGAAAAGAAACAGGCTCTGCAACGGCAAATGATGGAGCAAAAACAACTCCTTCTACAGCAGCAGATGTTGGCAGAAGCTGTAAGTTTTCTAATCCCTTATTTTACATGGAAAATGTTGTCAAAAAAACAATAGAAAAGAAAGCTAAGATGGGGAAAGAAAGTCCCCTAAACTTTGAGGTCGTTTTGGCAATGCCTAAAACTTCAAGAGTGTGCCTCATATTTTTCAGCGCTTTGCTAAGCCCTTTTGAAACTTTCTTCAGTCTATATGAAACAACTTAAATATCCAAGCTACTGTGGTGTCATTACAAGAACAGTCCAAGCATATACTTGATTTGAGGCATATGGAGATTGTCCATGGTTTTCTTTGCAAGATAAGCCAACATGCACTGCTAAGCTACTTCAGCCTCAGAGGAAAGTTGACTTCCAGGCTCTTTGACCCAGGCAGCATGGTGTAAAGTGCCTGTGTGTAAACGAGGATCAGGTACATTGATTTTGGGTTTCAACACAAGTTATGTGCTCAGCTGAGATCATACATGAGTCCTCCTTTCTCCGTTTGTCTTTTTGCATTTCCAGATACCTGTAGTCAATTCTTCCCACTCCTTTGGTATCTGAGAGACCTATTGGGAGTTACTGGTCCTTTTATGAAGCATGGGGGATTCTACAAGGAAATATTTCTTGCCTTTTGGTTTATGCAGAAGAAAAAGGAACTTTCAAGTCAGCTCTATGTGATGCAGTTTTCTGTCAGAATTTTTAGCAGAACAAAAAGTTAATTGCTCAAATAGCTTCTCTTAAAAAGAAATAAAATAGAAATTGAAAATACTCTACAGAATGTGGTTTTTTAATCAGCTTGACTTTGCTTTTGTATCGTGTACACAGAAACGCACAAAAAGCTTGCCTACAGTTTCTGCATGCATTGCAGGGATTTCCTGGGAGATAACTTGTCTTTCTTCTTCAGAAGGGTTCAGGTTTAGCAAGATGTAAAAACAAGCCTTAAAATTCTTAATCAGACCCTTCACTCCCATCATGCATTATAGAAATGCCTAAACACCACAAGAAAGGCTCTTTTCCCAGTGTTTTTAATTGCTCCTGGGAGAAGAAAAAACAGATTTTTCATTAGAAGGTCCATTTACCTGCTCTTTTCAGGCAGAAGATCCTCAAATTACTCTGGTGGACTTCCATCACAAGCCAGGGCCCGACTTTTTCACACTGATGAGCCAGCTTGCCATTCTGGCAGCTGAGCATGAAACCTGGGCACATTGTGCCCAGGTGTGAAGCCTGCCCAGCAGCTGCCCAGTAAGGGTGTGTGTGCACCAAATTCACAATTTCCTGCCACGAGGCCACATGTCCCAAGGTTTTGTTGCTCATGGGCGAACAGTAGCACTCTGAATGCATCAAGTCACACTGATGCTGATGAGAGATTGGCATTGACTCTGGTGCCTGCTCTTTCCAGATCTTTATGAACACAGGGCAGCTAGTCAGATTTCAGTTCTAGGACTTTGATTTCTATCTTCCTCTTACCACAGACATGTCCCTGCAGGCTCAAAATAAATAAAAAATTCTCCCCAACTAATATTTTTTTCTGCAATCTTTCCCTTCTGTCCTTGCCCCAACACTTGTACTCCCAGTGTAACAGGAAAGACAGCACCACACACATTTACGGGGAAGCACAGGCCATTGGTGAGTGAAAAACAGCCAGCACAGCACCATCTTTGCTACACCATGTGTCCTGCTGTCATCTCTGCTGAGGGGAGATGAAGCGCGAGAACAAAACTGATTTTTGTGGTCACTCCTCCAGTTTAGGAGGAAGGAGTAAGTGAGGAATGGACATGGCTGTGGATGGGGATGATGAGCTGAAGTCCTCTTTGCCAGCTGTGCATGCTGAGAGAACTATGTGGGTGAAACAGGCTGATAGTCATTGACACAGCCAAGGAGCAGGTGTCAGCCTTTGTTGCTCCCCAGCTGCACCCTGGCTGTGTGGGTTTTTTGGGTTAGACGTGGGTGTTTGCTCTGTCTCTGTTCTTTCAGAGAAAGCACACCTAGCTGCACAGAGAGGGAGGGAGCCATGAGGAACCATCAGGCCCCTCTATCTGATCAGCATGGTGAGCAAGACAGGATGTACATCAGAAGATACTTTGTACTGCACTGCAGATGTGGACAGTGTTCTCAGAGGCTGAGAAACTTTCAGTGGTTTTAAGGAAAGTTGAACCAGTCTCAAACACTCTGCAACCAGCAAAAAGGTTTCTTATAGACTTTAGTGGGTGATGACACAGTTTCACAGGTGCCTCTGTGGACCAGACAGAGTGAAAGGAAGAAACACTTGAGATTTATACATACTGAGACAACAAAGAGATGGGCAAAACACAGAGGCAGGAAAGCATAAGGAAAAGCAAATTAATGCATTTCTACTCTAATCCTCTAGGAGAAAATAACTCCACAAGATCAGCTGAACAGACACTTGACACGTCCACCACCAGATTATAAAGACCAAAGAAGGAACGTGGTCAACATGCAACAAGCAAACCAATATCCTGGTAAGTGCCCATGGGCTCAATGAAACTGTTTGTTTCCTTCCTTCCTTCCAACTGGAAGAAAATCCAGAAGAGCCATGCATATACAGATGACCAGGGCATGATTTTCTGGATATCCACTTACATCACCACAGAGGCAGTGGTGGATGGTGGCTGTTGCTCTCCTGTGCTACTTACCTTACTGTCTTGCACCACTGAGAAGTGCTGATGTGTGATCTGGTGGTTCATCCACGCTGATACTGCCTCTCTCAGACATGGGGAAGAAGGGGTTGGTACCCCTCCCATTAGCACTGTCTGGGGCAGAGGTGCACTGAAATACTTGATGCAGAGGTGTCCTCTTGACTATGCAACCTCACTCCATCCAGATGCTTCTCTCATGTATGTGGTACATTTTGCTTCAGAGACTGAGACGAGAGCCATCCCTCCCTTTGAATGGCAGTTCTTGTACGGTGTGAGGCCCCTCATATTGATTTTTAAGTACTTCACATGGCACCATCATGGATGGTACTTTTGGTCTCTTTAATATGCCATGGTCATGGCTTTACTGCTGGTCTAGTTTCGGAAGTGCAGGCCTGCCTGTTTGACTTTTCATGCCATTCACCTTGCTGGTTGGCTGGAGACCACTCAAGAGGACAAAGGAAAAAATGCTGAGGAGAGAGAGGAGGTGGGAGAAATGCAGCAGATGGGATCAAAGGATGTTCTTTATACTGCAAAGTGCCTTTGCATGTAAGCATAAAAAGGATCCTTTGCCTTCTAGTATCATTTTGTATACAACACACTGAAGAAAAAAAAGATGGTGTGATGTTTTGTTTTTCCATAACTGTTGGCTCTGCAGATTCAGCCAGTGGTCTGAGTCTTTCCTTCCTACCTGTCCTTTCTAGCAAAACTTTTTCATCTTCTATTACGATTTTAATGAGCTCTGAAGTGAAGCTGTTTCACATGCCACCCCTCTGCCCAACCTGCTGGCCATGGGACCACCAGCACAGCTCTGTGGGGAAGGGCCAGGCTGGGCTGCTCAGGCAACATTCAAGCACTCCTTTGCTTTGCTTCCAAGTTCTAGCAGTGATAAGCTTGCTGCCGGCTGGAAACTGCTGCTGGAAACTGCCACTTTCTAATGGACCTGAGTGTTTATGATCTCCAGTAAATTTCCACAAGCATCCCTGATGCCAGTGTAATAGCCGATGATGAGGGCAATGCCACAGGGCAGACAGTGCCCTGCTTGCTGGCTAACTCCTGTGCTCCCAAAACAAATGCTTTGGCAACCCTGGCAGTTTGCTGGGGAATCTTGTGATTTGGTGTGTTGTTTAAAGGCTCATTCCTGGAATCAAATGATTAACTGAGACTCTTGGCTTTTACTTAAAAACATTCCTTTTCCAGCTTGAGAGAGAAAATGGAAGTGACTGCAGCCACATCTGTAAAGGCTCCAAAATGAGTAGATCACCATTGTTATGTGGTGGCTCTTGTTGTTAATCTGATGGACTCTTTGTCAGTCTTGTGGTATTTGGAGTCCCATCTGCTGGGTTTGAAGCATGTGGGACTGGCAGCACTTGTCCATTCAAATCTCAAGTCCCTGCTGAGTGAGCCCTGGGAGGACAGCAGCTTTTTAGGTGAGCCTCGGAGAAAGGGCTGTTCTAGGAGTTTCCAACAAAGCTACCAGACGGAGTGATTAGGAAACTCTTGCATAACGGAGTAACAGCAGGGAATCTGTTCCCTTTTTCTGGGAATAGCTCTGCTCAGGTCAGGGAAGAAGAGACAAAAAGCTAAATAAAATAACACCAGGGCTTGAAGAAACTTGATTAAGCATTTTATTCCTCTATACTTTTCCTCACAGTGCCATGTCATGGCAAGAAGCAGGTGAATCAGGTAGGGAAGATGTTTCTCTGAATCGCTGTAGCCTGGGGTGCCTAGCTGCTGTACACTGTGCTTCTGGGTAAGGCATTTCTTCCCATCTGGAAGAAATCAGACCAGAAAATACTTGTGTTAAAAATAAAATCATAAAAATAGCAATACAAAGAAAGAGGAAGCTTCGTCTTTTGTACAAGTACAACCCATGTCCCATCCACTTGTATTTTTCAGAGTGTGGCATTTGCAGGAGCACTGAGGTCTGTTCAACAGCTGGCAGGGTCACCCCAGAAGGGGCTTCATCCCAATGACAAGTAAAGCAGGTCCACAAACTTGTAGTTCAGCTAGAGGGAGGAAACCATCTCTCCCCAGCTTGGTGTTCCAGGTCTTTTGAAATGCCACTGAATTCTGTACCATTCCTCCTCTTTGATAGCAGCATAAAGGAGCAAAGAATCAGGGGCCCCATCCCTATCACCCCTGCAAAAAGACTGTAAAATCACAGAAAGGTTTGGGTTGGAAGAAACCTTAACAATCATCTAATTCCAATCCCCTCTTGCCCTGGGCAGGGACACTTTCCACTAGACCAGCTTGCTCAAAACCCCATCCAACCTGGTCTTGGACACTTCCAGGGATGGGGCATCCACAACCTCTCCAGGCATCCTGTTCCAGTGCCTTACCACCTCTGAGTAAAGAATTTCTTCCTTACATCCAATCTAAGCCTACCCACTGCCAGTTTAAAGACATTCCCCCTTGTCCTATCACTGTATATCCTTGTAAAAAGTCCCTCGTCAGCTGTCCTGTAACCCCCTTCAGGTACTGGAAGGTGCTAGGTCACCCCAGAACCTTCTCTTCTCCAGGCTTAACAAACCCAACTCTCTCAGCCTGTCTTCACAATAAATGTTACAGTAGTTCCAAAAACGCACAACCCATCAGCAAAGCCAAAAATAGTGTGGTTGCCTGCTGAGCACTGACTGTGAGAATTTGATTGTCCCTGTTGAGCTAAAGTCAGGTGGACTCCCATAGCTTCTCCTGTACCAGGACCTGACCAGTCTGGGGACTGAATTTAGGTGTTTAAGTTAGGACAACATAGTTCTTAAGGCAATTATATTCTCTACAAGTGTCTCCTGCTTAGAGCCAGCTTGTGGAACAGGCTGCCTCCCAGGACAGAGGGGGAGCTTCTTAATTTAGGTATCTATGTTTATATTAATTTGGAACAAACACTCTGGTTGTGGAGTCACTCTCAGTGTTAATAATGATTTGGGAAGAGTTAATTTTTAAGTCCTTAAGGAAAAAAAATGAATCCTTTGCATCCATTACTAAATGGAAATAGCATATGTATAAAAATAATGCAGAAAAGGCAGAAATATATGATTTTTTTTTTCTTTAGTTCCACTCTGAGGGAGCTGAACATCATTATGGTGACATTTCAACAGGAAAAGTTTATTAAACAGCTGTTCCTAAACACAGACTTTTAAAATATGTATGCGCATGATTTGTCTTCAAGAGTTTTAAAAGAGCTGGCTGAAAGGTTCTCCAAATTTTTAATGTTACTTTCTACTTAATCTTGAAACTCCAGACTGCTAATGCCATGACAAAAATTAAAAGAGTAAGTAGGTTATTGTAGCCCTAGTGACCTAATGAAGAACTCAGCAAAACTACTTGGGAAGCAGATACAGCCTGAATAATAAAGAATATAGGAAGGGGATATAATTACTGTCAAACAACATGGACTGATATGAAAGAATATTTTCAAATTTCCATGGTATTTCTTGTTCAGATAATGTCCTATAAAGCATCTGACTTCTTACTGCCAATTTTTGTTAAGAAACCAGAGTGACACAAAATTAACACAGCTCAAAAGGTAATCGCTGACAGATCTCCAGATATCACTGTGAACAGGCTGTGTGATTGGAACCGAATGCACAAACACTGTCCAAGACAAGGCCGAACAAGAAAAATAGAGCTTACTTTACATCCATATTGGAGATGTGCAAAAGCTATTACTGTGACCAGCAGTGATGCACAGCTCTGAAATCAAACGTCAAAAAGAGCTTCGAAGGACCAAGGGACTGGAAAACACGCCACTCACTGATACTAAAGTATTCGGAGAATGCTGCAAGCATGACACAGTCTTGAAGCACCTGTGTGGTAGGAAGGAACTGATGATGAACCACCTGATAAAATTTATCACACAGACCAATATATAAGATTCGATGACAAAGTTAAAGTTAGTCGAATTGTCTGTTTTTGTGGTATGTATGAAGGATCAAACCAAGGCGGTGTCCCATGTCCAACAATTGTTAGTAATTGATATCTATGAAATAGAAAATCTACAGAATCGTATGTTCCTTCCTCTGGCAGAGGGTCAGGGAATTTCCGAAATGCAATGGTACCTTGGTAGCCAGCCCATTCAACAGCTTTTCTCATGCTTTGGGAGCCACCCAAAGTGATACGAGAATTTAGCTTGTACTGTGCCATGCGGCAAACATTTCCTCAGCTGACCCACACATTGTGTGAACAAACATCTCCTTTTGTTAGCCTTGAACCTGACTTCTCCAAGCTGTGCTTCTCGCAGGGCTTGTACTGGAAGCAACAGTAGCAAAGGCAATTAAGCTATGGAGCAGCTGATTGTGCAGAGAGCGTTCTCCACAGTGCCATCTACAGCAGCTGTGTTTGGAAAACGGTTGTCTTCAACCAGCCTCTCAGGGATTAATTCAGTCTTGCACTGCAGAAGCAATCAGCCTACAGTGACAAAATTGATTTACCATGGCCTCGAAATAGAGACTATGTAGCCGCAAATGTGCTACAGAAGTGAGCTTGTGTCCAGGTTTGGAGGCTGAAGGACTCTCTTCTTGTGATTCGTTGGCGGGTGTCAGGTACAGGAAAATCCTCCAGTAGGCAGAATTAGCCATGAGTGGTACATTTGTGCCAACTCATAGCTCATAGTTTTCTAATGCACAAAAGGTGAATTTCATGTGCTGCAAATGCCAGCATATCATGTGTGATTCCCTCAGCTTCTACAGGAGCAAATAGCCCAGCTGGAAAGGGAGTTTAGAAGGGCATCTGGGTGGGACTCCCCAGATAGAACACTAAGTCATGTTCTTGTACCTACTCTGCTGCCACGTGGGAGGACAGGCAGGTCACAGACTGGGCTGAACTGCTCTCCCAGCATATGGCTGCAAATGTTTGAGCTGCAGTCTCGGCTCCCACTGTTATATAGGACAGGTATTCCCGCAAAGGATGGATACTGCTGCTGTAGGTAAAAAAGGAGCCTGATGATGGTGCCTCTAGCTCCCCATTGTCTCTAGAGGGAGCCAGGATGAGCCATGCCCTTTAAGGAAGTTCTTGATCTGTGATCACTTAAACAGGCTTTGTCCTGTCTAAGGTGACTAGCACTTCTGTAGAAAAAGGCAGAGAAGTCTTCTCTCCTGCCCAGTGGTTCAGTCTGTCCTTCCCAGCTCTAATATTTCTCTTACAATGAGTACTAGTTTTGGCTCATCTGCTGTCCTCTGAAGGGATGGAAAAGCCACCAAGGGCTTCATATAGGCCAAACCACCCTTTGGATGATAGGCATCTATAAGGCCTTGAGCAAGTTCATGTAAGTCCTCTTAAGAGCATAGTATCTTCTTCAAGAAATTCTGCTAATAGAAAACTGGATTTTTGACCTGTTGGTATATGAATGACACAATTCATTCATGCACTCATGCTTGTTGTAACACTTTTATTTTCTCCTTTCCAGGTGGTTCGGCAGCTGCGAGCATGAGCTCCAACAACATGTCCTTATCCAACCCAATTTCAACGCACAGCCTCATGCCCCAGAGCTCCAGTCTCATGTCCACCACCGCTGGAAGCCGAATGCCTTCTGTTCCTGCTGCTCGGAATATGGGTTGCTATGGGAATCTTCCCTGCAACCAACCAAGTGCATACAACATGACTTCAGGAATGAATCAAATGCAGCCACACAGAAACCAAAATCAGGTTCTGCCCAGTCAGAATAACCCCATGGTGTCCCGACAGCAAACCATGACACAGGGAAACAATGTGACAGCTTTTGGGACAGGGTCAGTGGTCAACACTCAGCAAATAAGGCCAAGCTTGAACCATGGAGCAACAGGTATCCCTGCTCAACGGCCAGCCAATGTGATGATCACAGCTACTGCCACTGCCCAGAACTGGGCCCCACAAGAAGCTGCAGTGAAGCAGCAGGATGCACTGAAGCCTGCAGGGGTCCGTTTCCCCACTGGCACTCCATATCCTAACCAGTCTTTGCAACGCAATGTAGGCAACCAGCATTTTCCTCAGCGTGCACTGGCACCTCCTAACCAGTTAACAGCGGGAGTCCAAATGAGGCCCCCTCTAAACCCAATGCACCAGACTCTAAATGGACAACCTGCTGGCTCACTACGAGGGCTCAGCATAAGACCTAACCAGCTAAGAGGACAGACGATGCCTACCTTGAATCAGCCAGGAACAAGTATGACACCGCCATCATCTCTGCCATCAACCAGTTTCACATCTACCAACCAAAACTCTAGGGGTTACCAAGGAGGTGATCATAATAATGACCTAGCATTTGACTTTCTAAACCAGCAAGGTGACAGTATAGGACCTGCGCTCAACAGTGACTCGGACTTCATAGATTCTTTACTGAAAACAGAACCTGGTAATGATGACTGGATGAAAGACATCAACCTCGACGAAATTCTAGGGAACCACTCATAAGTGACAGTACTGACAGGGAATCAGATGAAGAGGCAGCAAGGACATTAGCTTTCTCTTTAGATGCCAACAACCTGCTTTATTAATTTACACTCCAGTAACTGGGCTGTTCTTTAAAATACCACATAGGGCAACTGCCCTCTTTGAAGAGTTGCTCTAGGAACAAAATTGAAGTCACCCCAGATGAAGTGATAGCATAAGTGATATTCCTGCCTGTCACAAAGGAGTGAGAATGCATGAAGGGTCTGCTCCCCACACCAGGGCCCAGAGCATTGCAGACTCATCAGTTCTTCTCACAGGGACTGTGGGGAAAAACATGTTTAGCTTCCCACACATGGAAGCACCAGACAGTGGTATGGGTTGTGGAACAACATTTCTCTGAGTGCAAGTAAGAGCCTAAGTGGTCCAGAGTTCTTCAGTCATCATGTTCACAGCCCTTAACTTCCTTGGGACTGCAGCCCTGACAGCATCAAGCCCTGTGTAAATCTCATGGCATCACAAAAACTGTTTACTTCTGCTCCGTACAAACTCACATTTGCTTTCTCAATGATTTTATTATAAACCCTCTATCTTTTGTAGCACACAACAGGGTAAGTGGTCTTATCCAAGAGAAGAAGGAAGCAGATCTTCCAACACGTTACTCAGTGTGCTCTAGCATTTGCATTCTCCCTTTCATCAGTGCTTGCAGTGACTATCAGAGGACGCTACTGTCCTGCCAGTAACACAGTCATTTTGGGCATTGAGGGAAATACGAGATGAACTATTACCAAAGCTCAGGATCCTCACTTTGCTACCTTGCCCTACCCCAGGGACTCCAGTGACTTAATGGAGAACTTGAGTGAGAAGGGTGCTTACGATTTGACCCTCACTGACTACTTTCCCAGTCCAGCTTAGAGGAGGGTAAATGCTCAGCTAAGCCACTGTGCTCATTTTCATCTAAACCCATAGTGAGTGTCAGTTAGTTCAGCCCAGTCCTCTTCTATCAAGCAGGTTTACCCCAGAAGAAATGCCATCGTTTTTGTCTGGGGAGAGGCTGTCATTTTGATTGCACTGCATTTTGGCTCCATCCTGGTTTTCCTTTGCTATACAGGGAGAGTTGAAAGAGTTCCAGTGATGGCCAAGGTCCCCACAGCCTCCACTGGGTGGAGTATGAAAGACTCTGCCCCTGAAACTAGCATGCATATCAATTATAGCTCACAGTAGGAGGCTCCGCTCAGCCACATCTGTGCTTGTAGATGAAACAGTTCGGGGGAATATTTTTGGGCACTGGACTAAATCATCTGTTCTGCGTTTGGTGATGGCCCAGCTAACACTGCCCTGAGCAATTTCTGTGCATCACTAGGAAGATATCCTGGGGCAAGGACCATTTCCATAGGCAGTTTGGAGCCACCTTGCCTTGAAGGCTAACAGAGCAGAGCAATAAGCATACAGGCAATTCCATACCTACCAAGGAACAGTCTCAACTGTGTTAAATTTTTTGCTATAGACTTGGTCAGTAAGGACATTAGAAGGATATGCTATGTCACTATAAAGCAGCTCCACAGTGATTCAGACAGGATTCATGGATGGGAACAGATCTTGCAATTCAAATGAAAATACTGTTCTTTAAAATGATGTGGTGCGACGTGTTTCACAGCCTCCTCTGAATTAGCTAAAACTAGATGTGGCAAAGGAATACAATGCCTACGTTTGCATGCCTTGGTGCCAAGAGGCATTGCTCTGCCTGTGCAAGTGCTTTATTCATCCTTGTTAGTAGCAGTGGGATGAGGAGACTATTTGACAATAGCCTCTGCACTTATCTGACCTATTTCTTGAGAGAGGTTTTAATAAGGCTTTTCCAGTCAGCTCACCCTGTCATTTCAAATGGCATTCATTCAAATGGGCACTTCAAATTTTTCAAGATGTTTCAAGAAGCACCATCACACAAATGAGCACTAGCACCTCCAGGAAAGGTGTAACATGGGCATTTAGTTAGACATGCCAGTTGAGGCTGTTCATTCCCAGAAATGTTTGTCATTAAGAGGGACAAGAAAGCCTGCTGCAGAATCCATTCTGCCACCCCAGCTAGTGATCCTTGCACACCCCTGCACTGTGTAACATGGTCACTCAGCTGCCCAGAAAGCTCCCTCTTCTCCCCAGTTTTGGCTGGGGTGCACGTGGTCCCTTTGATATATCAGTACAAATTTTTCCAAGTCCTTGAAGAGCTTTTCAGCTCAGGTCACTGGGGTCCCACCTAAGTTTGGAGAGATACAAATGCAATCTAACAAATGTGTCCCCTATAAGTCATGCAAAACTAGACTGAAATAGAAGCTACATGAGTTTGAAGCAGAAGGAAGATTGGCTCATCTGCCTCACACACGGGCACATACCCCATCTACAAGGGTCAACAGTGACCGGCAGCGCTCTGGTAGGAACAGACGACTGCGATGGATGCCACTAAGGCCGAGGCTGAGTTAGTATCACCATGAGCAATGGTGACTGAAGTCTGGTAACTTCAACTACCCTCACACACCATTGAAAAAGCCACCACTGGTTCCTGTATTAAGAGCAGACTGTTTTCCAGATCCTAAAATGGTGTAAAAAAATTGTTCATCTGAGGAGCTGATCCCAAGGAGTCAGGAGTTGGACTCAGTGATTCTTGTGGGTCTCTTCCAACTCAGGATAGTCTATGATTCTGTGATACCATGTGGTGGTGGATTCAATGCTGAGTGTTTTCTTGTTGGCCTCAGCCGAGAGTGGAAAAGACACTGGGCTGTGAGTGCCATACCTGGGAGCAAAATTTCATCCTGTCTTAAGTAAATTCAAAAACGGTAGAGGCCACGTCCAGTCCTGTAAATATAAGCCTGATGCATTTGAAATGCAAGCTTGTAAAGACTTTTGCAACCAAAACTTGAATCCAGTATCATTTCTTCAGAACACTTGTATCTGAATGGAGCTAGTGTCTTTTTTCTCTTTCTTTGCAATGGCTAAGTGCACTACCCTTATAGTCTATTTTTCATCATTGACCGGGCACTCTTCACAGTATTGGGTTGTAAATATAAAGAATTATTTGTTTTGTAAACTTTTGTAAAAACAACAACAAAAAGTAATAATATTTTGGTAGGAATAATAAAAATCATATTATTTGGGTTATATTTATACATATGTGAAATAAATATACTATCACAAAGTTGTATTTTATACAAAAAGTCAACGGTTACCTTTTGTATTCTATATACAAAGTTTTGTATGATACAATTGTTTATTTTTATCTGCAGACTTCAACTTTGGGTTTTGGGGGAGGGCAGAATGGGATCATGGTTAAATAGCTGGGTCTGACCCCAAGCTCACTGAAATCGATGGAGTCTTTCCATTGCCTTCACAGGGCTTTGAATGAAGCCTTTAAATAACCTTCAGATAGGTTTGACATCTGAAGCTGTCTGGAAACCTCAATATGAAAACATTCCAGGTTTCAAATTTTTTCCCTGAAAAAGGCTTTTATTATTATTATTATTGTTATTGTTATTATTGTTATTGCAGCTGTTGGGATGCAGGTGGGACCTATGTAACTGTCATGTCCTTGTTGCATGTATGTCTGCTTTATATTTTCCCCATATTATAAACCAGTGTTTCTCTATACAGACTGAAAAGATGCTGTACAGAAATGTTTGTGTTTATGCATTTTTACATGTGGCTGTATATACCTCCTAGTACTATGCAGTGACACTTATTTGACTTCATTTATTTTTCACCTAAACATGAATAGTATGTTTTTCAGTAGCTATCAAAACTCTGCCAATAAATCAATCAAAATTATCCCAAGTGTCTCTTTTCTTAATGTGAATTTTATATTGAATGTCTGTTTAGTCACCTGCTGGTTCATCTGAGTAAATTAAAATTATGGTGATATTTTAGGAGGGGGGATGAGAAAAATGTTCATGTGGCAGCTTCTAGGAGCTCAGCCTGCCTCTTCGCAAGAGAGCTGTGATGTTTTCCTAGTGACTGAAGACATGGTTTCATTACCAGTAAGGGTTAACAAGTGATGGTTAACAAAAAATAGTATTTTAGCTCCTGGTGCATGGGTTGATAGAGTCTTGCAGCACAGCAATTTGCTCTGAGATCCTGCAGAAGTTAAAGCCGAGAACTGTGAACTCCCAAGAGTTAGGCACCCCAAGAGGGCTGGCCAGGTCCTCAAGCCCATGCCCTGCCCTGGATCATGCCCTGAAGATATCTGCCCCTCTCCCCTCACTAGCAGACACCCCTAATGAGATGCCAGAAGTCAGGCAACTCCCTTCTCCTCCTTTCCTCCTTGCCTGCATCACATTACACCTCATTCTAGCCTAAAGAGATTCCAGCCTAAAGAGATTTCAGCGTGTACCAGATCACATCAGGTCCAGACTGTTTCACACAAATATTCATCCCTACCAGACTATTTTTAGCAGGTCAGCGCTGAGGAAGTGATGTCCTGTTCCCTGAGAGGCTTTCTGGGCTCCATCTCCAAGTGGGTGGCTCTTCCTACCCCACAAACTGAGCAGAAGGGGTGGTGGAAGGGGATATTTCAGCGGGACAAATGTCAGCGCATCAATGCCTGTGCTCAAAGGCTGCCTTGTGCTATTTTCAGATGTAGCAAAAAAAAAAAAAGGGCTCCCCACATCTTAACTGCTTCACTGCTGGTTGTGATGCTCAGGGACTGCCATCCAGTGCATCCGCCCTTTTAGTCCCCCTCTGCTCACCTTCCCCCACGGGGTAAGCAGGGAGGCACCTCCCTTGGCTGCCCCTCACAACACCAGCTCTGCTGACTGCTGTCCTCATGGGTTTTTTGCTAGTGTTGCTCAGTCCCTCCATTGTGTCTGACTCCCACCCACGAATGGCTCCTCTGTCCTTCCCTGGCATCCAGTGCTTTCACTGGAGGGATGGGGGGAGGATGCTGGCAGGTGCCCTGTGTCCCACTGCACCCACTGTACCCACACTCCCAATCGTGGATGGACACGCTGAAGTAAGGAGGTGCCCGAGAGGCGTATGGCTCTCTCTTCAGCATCTCCAACACAGGCAGCAGACAGTGCTTTCCTTGCACTCAAGGGAGGAAAATAAGGTACAGTCCCACTTATCTGAAGGTAAACAGGTCAAGAAACTCAAGCCCTAAAAGTGCCTCTTTGTCTATCGTAGCTGTAAAGGCAGAAGACAGGGCAGGTAGGATGTGGGAGCCTCAGGCAGGGCTGCTGCCCACACGAAGCACACATGTCTGTATCAGCAAGCTGAAAAACAGCCTGGGACCCCTCCCTGTCCCTGAAGCGTGGTTGCCTGTGCCACCAGGGTATGAGGGTCCCTGGTAGTGCTTGAGTGCAATATCCACCCTCCTACAGGTCTCACTATTAAGAGGCATTCCCACTGTGGATGCAGGACAAGAGAGATAGGACATTATAATAATATGGACACACATCACCCTGCGCCACATGGCTTCCATGCCAGAAAATGTCCTCAGGCCTGTATCCTCTGCCCAGGGAGATGTAGCCAGCGAGACCATGTGGAGGGGGTGTGAGACAGGGGTGGTAGTGAGTATTTTCCCTGCCTGGCCAGAAGCAGCACAGCAGGAATTGCGCCAGACCCAGATGAGGGCTGACCTTTCCCACTGCATCTGAATCACTTGGTGGGAACCACTACCGGCTCAGAAGGGCAGACCAGCCAAGAGTGCTGCTCCCTCCTTCAGCAGCATGGAGGTCTGGCAGCTGCAAGAACCAGGGAGAGGATTCCTCCTGCCACAATAAAAGCTTAGACCACAGGAAAACATTACTTCATCCTAATTTTTAAATTGGGCATTCTCAGTCATGCAGACCAGTTTGATAGACTCTCTTTACTAGGATTCCAAATCATAGCCCAAGTATCCTTTTAAATAAAATACAAAATTTCATTGATTTCTTCTTCACAAAATTGTTACAAGCTAGCTCAACCAGAAGTTACTGTCATAATGGAGAAATTGCAGTGTAAAATCCTCATCCATGTGCTCCAGAACAGGTCATGCAAACTGAAAAAAGCAGCCTGATTAGGACTTAGAAATCTAAGCTTTAAAAAAACAAACACAAACAACCAAACAAAAAAAACCAACCAACCAAACAAAAAAACAAAACCACACACATACACACACACACACACACGCAAAAAAAAAAGAAACCCAACCCAAAGTAGCAATTGCCATTCTGGCATTTTCATTACAAGGAGCTCCTTTAAAAGAGCCAGAGCTTAAATTATTGTTTTGCCTGTAATAATTCAGACTCCTGTGTGCTGAAGAGTGATTACCCAGGAAGTGATGGCCTTTTCAGGTGGACATGTGGATCTTTGTGCTGCTGGTGTGCTGTGTGCCTGGGTACCAAGGCTGGATGAGCTGCTCCATCACCCTTGGGATGTGCAATGGCAGAGCCAACCCGTGCCTCCTGGAGCGGAACAGAAAAAGCCCCGCTTGGCTGCACTGGCATGTGCCTGGTGAGCAGCTCACTCTCCCCAGACATGTCGTGCATTCCTGTGCACAGCTTCAGACAACAAAGATGCTCTATCTACATTTTTTGGAAGGCTGCCTGCCATGTTTTCACTCTGGCTGACTGGTCTGCCTTGTTTGAGAGGACACAGTTGCTCTGTTTTATCCTTCATGTCCAGGAACATCAGGAAAACCCCGTGGTGCTGTTAAGTGTTTGGGTAAAATGCTGGGTATAGGTGCATCCATGCAGCTCATGTTGAAGTTAACAGATCTGAAGGCAAAACCTATCCCTCAATATCAATTTGACATGAAAGGAAAGGTTCCTGGTCATTGTGAAGGTCAATAAACAGGACATAAGGGCAGAGTTTGCCCTTGATACCATGTTGGAGGGACATGGTAAAAATAAAACCAGGGAATGTATTCAAATTGCCTTTTGTGCTGACCTGGTCTCTAAGTACAACAGGGAAGTTTGACTCTAGAGGCCTAAAATTAATTTTTTTTAAAATTAAGTTAGTTCCTGAAGAACTCCAGGGTACCAGCCACTGAGAAATATTTAGTAGAAATTATTGTGCTATTGTTTGAGGATCTGATTTGGAAAGGTCCCTCTTGTAGATGTATCCTATAGGGTTAGTTCCATAAGTTGATTTCATGAACAAGTGGGCACACATGACAGTCAGGTTAATATATAATTCACATATCAATGAAATTTCCATCAGTGAAAGACATCTAACTTTCTCAAGTAAAAGCATATGTGGGGACTCTGCAATTTGGCTGCATCTCTTCAAATTTGTTTTAGAAGGAATTTGGTGAATTTTCTGAAATTGCAGTTTCTAAAAAGAGAAATGTGTCAGATACATAGGCCATATTATTTGATTCTTCAAACTTCACAGTGTCTTTAAAGTAAATATTGAAGAATGTCTAAAATATATGTGTTGGGTAAAATAACCCTTTGTGAATCTGCACAACTTTGCCAATGATGGTTTATTAATTTTTTGAGTTCTTTCCTCTCTTAAGGATTGTGCTTTTTTACCATGTTACTTGTCCTTCAGCAAGACTTCTAATTGGCATAATGTTATTCATAGTACCTTTGTGAGTAATTTAACTGTACAGCAAATCAAGGCCAGTGTAAAGAAACCCGTTGTACTCTCTCACGTAATTTCCTTAGTGTGAACATGTTAGCCTTGGTCTGTTAGATAACCAGGCTGACAGGATGTCTACAGCAGAGACAGGAACTCCATGTATGTTCCCAAAGGCTGATCAAAGCTGCAGGGCTACGTGGCATCCCCATTCACACGTGAGCAGCAAGTTAACTGCATTAGTACAGCTCAAATCAGGATTTCATGCATAACACTCCCTTAAAGCCAACTTTTCCCTTCATTTAAGTAACAAATTCACTCATCAAAAGAGTTTCCCCATAGTTACATGGCATCTTTATGTTATTATGTGCCACACTGGTCTTGATTAATTCTGTGGATCTTGCTAGAGTAAAGCCATGGCACGATAATCTCATTCATTAACTTTCCCTCCCACCCCAAAAATTTAATCTAGTGTGTTTTACAATATAAACTGCTAGCTTCTGTCATACGAATACCAACAGACCATCTGTTTGTACTGGGGAGTTTAAAACATTCCCATAGAAAATGTCTGGAGTGCTTTAGAGGGTTACAAAGAGAAGCTTTCAACAGCTGACAAGATAGTGCCATTTAAAGAAGTAAATCATTAAAAAAAAGGGAATTAAAAAAAACCCCATCCTGAAGAACATTTCATTAGTTTCTCAGCATTGAATATAGCCTTTTTGTAAGTGACTCAAGTGCACAAAACCACACAAAACCTCAGAAATATTCTTTTGTTACATCTGTGTTTTTAACCCTCAGTAGTGGCCTATTTTGCTTTCCCTTTGGGTTTTCTTTTTTAAAAAAATTTGAAATTGAGTCCTTTTTATACACTTCACTGTGCCTCCAAAGCCTCCTGCTATTAGATCGGTTTTAGCTTTCAGCAAGTGAGAGTGTGCAATAAAGAAAAATCTCCCAGTGGCCACCAACACTGCGACACAGCATAGCTGTGCACTTGGATGGCAGATTAGCTCCAGAAATGCTACTTTTTATTAAACTATCTTTCATCGGAGAATCCTTTCACCAAGCTTTTACACATTTTGATAAAAGGCAAGATTTTCAAAAAGGAGCCCAAACCCTGGCTCCAATGCCCACTCTGATCAAAATGATGATGTCTGGCCACAGATTTCAACCCTATTACTGATTGCAGAATAGCAGCACCCTGGTAATATGATGCAGCCCAGGTAGAAATAACCAATGCAAATGAACAGAAGTCTAGATAATATATAGAAAAG